TTGGAATTTGTGTGCCTTATTGAATGAGTATATTTGATGCATGCTGGTATTCTACTATTGTATGATATTAAGTTATGTATGCATCATGTTTATTTATTTATTTATTTTTATGCATGTCTCAAATCTGTTTTTATGTTTTGTTTGCGAGAATTTTCTTATATTTTGTGTACTTGGTGCATTCATGTTTTTAATAAAAAAAAACAATTTTTCATTGTTATGATTAAATTTTTTTTTTTTTTTTTTAAAAGGAGAACAAAAAGTTTTTATGCAGGAAATTGTTTTACAGCATGATATACAATACGCTTGATTTTGTTGGTCGTAATCAAGTATAAGTTTATTTAGTGAGTTGTAATATAATTCACATTACTGCCTTAGGATACTTTTGGAGTATTTAATATATGTCTCTTCATATACCATCTGCATTGCACACACTATGAACTTGATAGTGGGACTCTACCGCGTGTGTGAGATTTGGGATGACGGTCACATGTTAGTAGGGTGACTTTGAACATGAATTGACCAACTTATTTAGACCTAAACTCGATATTATCATTGCAATAATAAATAGACATGTAATAAAAAATTTAAAATAAAGAAGCTCAATATCTTATGCTATTTCTCGAAGCCTACTTGACTTGAATAATTAAGCTTGCGAGATTCTCATAACCTGGTTCCTGTGGTCAACTGACTTGGTATGATCGGCCTAAAACTCGTTACAGGGGTCATGTCAGTCGCTTAATAAAAAGAAGCCTGCACTTAAGATGAAAACCATATGTATGAGCATTCATGTCTATTATTGTGATCAGGTCATTGTTTTTTGCTACAAATCAGGGGGAGAAAAGTCATTCTCCATAAAATGAGCTTTCATATGTAGGTTCTAATGTGCTTTACTGGTTTGTCTTTCATAAGTAGAGGAATATACTTATTAGCAATAATGTTTTGCAAGTCATTTCTCACAAAATTAAGGTTTTGAGTCCTACTACTAGGGGATTAGTGACACTTAACACATATGAGTCACTTATATCATTCACTCCATGGGTAATTTGAGTTAGATTTGTTGGACGGTTTATTGTTCATTGCATATACTTATGACTGCTTAAACCTACATTCTTAAGATGTTGTATGTTATTCTTTATCCCTTTTCATTGTCTGACAAAAAGGGGGAGTAGATTTTATGGTAGTATTAGTTTTTTGTTGATAGGGAGAGAGTGGAAAATAGACTTCTAGATCTGTTTTACTTATCCTTACATGATGTATCTATTTATCGAAAATCTGGATGTAATCAAATTTTTGATATATATATATATATAAATTGATTTTTGACTCAAAGGCATTTTACATTTTTGTTTCAGATCTGCTAAATTACGTTTAATGTTTTAGTAGTATCAACGTGTTTTCTTGGTATGTTGGGTTGCATTGATATTATGTTTTGATTTAACATGCATGATTGAAACTGAATAACATTATATGTTTCTAGATTGCCTAAATAATATAAACTACTTGAACTGTTTTATATATTGTCTTTCACACATTTTACACTGGGTGTTAAGTTATTTGTTACAAGAAACATGTGCTGATTAAAATACAGAATTCGTTCAAGTCAGTTAGTTGTGTTATAGGTTTTTGAGTCTGTAATTTATTTTTGATTACTGCCTTAACTTAGTTAGTAATTTTGTCACAAAATGTCAAAGGGTTTTAGATGTTTTGTAATTGGCAATTCTATAAACAAAAGGACTGAATTGTACTATATTTAAAAAATCAATGAGTAATGTACAAATAGTTGAAAATAAGGTTATTAGGTCTAGGGTTCGAAAATGGAAAAAAGAAGAAAACGACGAGGATTTTCGCTGAAATGTCGCCAAGGTTTGGTTCGAGTTACAAAAGTAGAAATATTGTGGCTGGACTGTCGCCTCTTCCTCGCTCTGTCGCTCGACCTTCGCTGAGCCATCGCTCGAGCGAAGTGGTTATCCGGGAAATTTTTATTTCGCGATTTAAAAGTTTTTTACCCGACCCATTCGTTTTTCTAACCTACATATATATATCAAAACATTTCTGTACGAAAATTGGTGAGGTTGAACATTGAGAGAGCTCCATCTGTGATAGATTCATTCGATTCTATCTTTCAACATTCATCTACTTTGATTGTTTTAGTGAGAAAAACATTGTTTCTATAATCCAAATACCAAACTTCATTTCATCTACATTTGGTCAGAGTTCTGAAGATCGATGGAGTTTGACTGGAGCTCCAGTATGTGAAGAACGCGGTGTTCTTCGTTGATCTAAGGAAAATAGACGATTCCACAAGGCTATGAGTGCTGTAGGGTAGCAGATTCTACGGAGAGTTTTGGCAACAGCAGCTAAGGATTGGTGTAGGGGACACATGATCTACGGAGAGCTGTAAAGAGAGCAGTCAAGAGATCAGATAGTACGGGTTATCTATTCTGATAGACTGTAACTTGTTTGAATTGTTTATAGTGGATTGCCCGACAAAGTGCCCGGAGTTTTTCCCAGTTGGGTTTCTCCGTAATTATCCTGGTGTTGATTTACTGCTTTATTATTGATTGATCATATAAATTACGGTATTCAAAATTAGGACTAAAATACTTGCATGTTTAATCATCTAGAGAAGAATTAAAAAGTGACTTGTTGCTGTTTAATTCGTAAAATATTTTTAATTCGGCATAATATACCTATTCACCCCCCTCTAGGTATAGTTGGGGTCGAACATCGTAACTTTCAACTTCTATTTTCTTCTCTAATTTATAAAAGATATGTCCTACTTATAATCATCTAAGAAATGCTTTTTTCCCTAATAAATCAGTAATAGATTCTTTATAGAACTAAGATCCTATTGACAAATTCATGATGAAAGATGAAAGTAACAGAAGCCTAAAACTAATACCCCTGTTTGATTCCATTTAATTTACTTTGCTTTACTTTAATTTATTTTTCACATTCATTTTTAACACACATTTACAAAATAAAATATTCTACATATAAATTTAAAACTTTTCCCTACTTTTTAATCACACGTTCTTTAACAAATCCAATTCAAAACATAGTTTTTTTTTTAAAATAAAGATCACTAAACAGGGGCAATAATAGTAGAGTTTTAATAGATTAATAATATATTACACTAAAAACATAAAAAAAAAAAAAAAAAGTTTAGTATTTTACTAAAATTTTGAATAACATTTCCGAATTTAATTTGATTTTATTTCACATCTTCTTAAGAAAAAGATGATAAAACAATTCTCAATCACCGTCCTATAAATTAAATTAGTCCAAAACAAACTATTATGAAAAAGATTATTAAAACTATGGAATTCGAAGTACTTTAAAGGATGGAGAACGACTCCTTTAATCGGTGTTGTACAGTCATCTCTGGGATGTATAATGAAAAGTAAATGGGAGTTATATGCTTAAATCTAAAGAGCAGCTTAGGGATGTTTAGTTGGTTAAAACTCAATGATTATTATTCTTAATAAAACTAAAACAAAAAATAACAACACTAATAGAACCCTAAAACTAATAATAATGGCTTCATATATTGACCCTACCATTTGTGTGTTAATGATGACAAAACCCACGAATTAGTTTCTCAAGACCCCATCATTGTGGGTAATTTGGCGACAAAAATACTTTCTTATATTGTAATCATTTGACAGCATCGAGCCCTACCCGTCTCCACTAGGATGTTTTTTTTGCCAAAAGCAAGGAATAAAGATGCAAATCTAGCAAAGCATGTCTTGAGTTAAGCGATCGGATTGCACAAAAAAACATGATATTTTCGAACATTCCCTTGTCAAATTTTACGTCAAATTATTCGGTATTGTATGCCTGATGCAAGGTAGAAGTGGAAAATGTAAGCGGCGTAATATAAAAGAAAAATGTCTTGGGTGGTTGTATTGTAACCACGATTTTTATTTCATACACCACATTTTAATCGTAGCAATTATTTCCTTAACTTTTTTTTTCGAATTCTTATCTTCAACCTTTCATTAATTAGTACGTTTTGTCCTTGATGATGATTTATACTAAAATATTTTGTTTTCATGCTTTGAAATGGTGGAAAAATATTTTTCGTACTTTTTATTTATTTATTTTTTAAAAATGCGGGGAGAAAATAAGTTACTTTACGTCATTTCAATGGAATATTGGACATAAAATTGTTATCAAATATAAAATGTGTAAACTAATGAAAAGTTTGAGGAGGAGAATGACATGAAAGACCGTTAGGAACATAAGTGTTATAATGAATAAAGTTTAAGAATCTTAAGTGCAATTAAAAAGTGGCGCAACAAATACAAATTGTGGTGTAAATATAATTATCCAAATATCTTTCATTTTTAGATTAAGTTATAGACCTGATATCAACAATGCTTCTTCAAATATTATATCGTATACATTCCTTTAAAGGTCATCTCAATAATTAATATATAACTAGGCAAATAACTCATCCCATCTTTTGTTAGAATGAATTATCTTCAAACTCTTTGAGATAAGATTAGTTGAAGATCCTAAATTATATCAAAGAGTTCATCGAGGTAACTAGTCAAAAATGGGTACTAAAAGCTGGTCTAGAGTTTGTCATATATTACAGCCATCTTATTTCTTTCTTACTCAAGTTACTATACGTACGTCCTCTCTCGTGTAAGACTTACACATGTTTCAAATAATTCTACAGTAATATAGAAGCTCCTATGGATTTTTCCAGGCGCTCTTTCATGGATTGTGATGTTTAAAGGCTTCAAAATCCCACTTTCTCTCCTTACAAAGCAAATAAATAAATAAATAACCACCTATTCTCCTTCAATAAGCGACATAGAGAATATTTCTAGTTGTCTCTTTAATAAAGAAAATCCCCTCCTTTTTCAATTCGAAAACCCCACTCATATATATACACACATACATATTAATACTCAGTGAAATTCCTTCCTCAATTTCTTCAACTTGGAGTACCTTAGTTTTTACTCAAAGAACATATTTCAACCCAAAAAATGTCACAGCCCATTGAGGTTTATCCAAATACAGTTGCTAGACAGTCTTCACCCAACCCTAATGGATCTTTTAGACCTGTGTTTGTAGTCTTGGCCATCATATTTGTTCTATCTGCTGTAGCCTGTGTGCTCGGAAGGTTTTGCGGCAGGCAGCACCACCACGTCGTGAAGGAGCACCACCGTGACGCTAAAGAACACCACCAATCCAAGGCCAAGCAGATCCACCACCCCCTTGGCCCAAAAGAATGGGAATCTAGGCAGAAACCTAGCTTTAACATGAGAGATGGGGATATAGAATTTGGGTTTGATAAGAAAATTCTCACTCCTAAAAAGGGTGCCAATGGAAATTCCAGAGGGCCTCAAATTGGTGGATTCAAAAGAGAAGTGAGATTTGCTGATAATATTGTGTAGAATTCAAAGGCAATGCATTATGGGATAATCTTAATTCGTGGGTATACTTTTTTCTTTTTGGTAGAAGTTATTGCTCGTTTTCCCCCCCCCTCTTCATCACTAATTTGTTGGGTTCTTTTAATTTTATTGTGTTTCTTGAAGTGTGTTAAAACTTGAAGTTTTATCTTAAAAGATCAACCTTATTAAGATGAGTATTCCAAACTTTTATAAATTGATCTATGTTTTCATTTTTATTCGATGTGAAATTTTATCCATTAACATGCTCGCACAAGATGGAGCTCATTTGAGTAGACCAATTTTGAGATTCATATGCTTACTTTTTTAGATATAATCGGATCGAATTACTCGTTGGAATTTAATGAGCTCTAATACTATGTTAAGACTTTGGGTTCCATTTTAAAAGATCAACCTTATTAAGTGGAATAACCCAAACCTTTATAAATTGATCTATATTTTCATTTTTATTCGATATGAGATTTTATCCTTAACAAGATGATGCACGACATTGTGAAATATAATGGTTTACTTTGTTTTGGTGATGCAAAAGACGTTTCTACTGTAATATAGAACTCTATTACTTTGTTTAAAAACTTTAACTAACTATTAACAAATATATCAAAGTTCATTCGACCAGTCCAATAGGAGAAATAAACTGTTATTTTGCAAAGCAGACGCCCCATATAAATTGACGATGCACATCTAAAATGCCCAATGACATTTGTGGGCTCTTCTTGTTTTGCAACCTGTTCGCATTTATAGGTGGTGGACGTAGGGTTGGGCAAAAATAAATCCAAACCACTCAAATTGACCAATCCAACCCAAATCGATACTGATCGGTTTGGGTTGGTTTTTTAGTTCGATTGTGTTGAGTTGAGTTGGAAAATTAAATTTTGAGGTCGAGTTGGGTTGTGTCTCGGGTTATGATTTAAAACCCAATTCAACCTAACCGAATCCAATTTGATGAATTAAAAATTTAATACCTAAAATGAAAAAAAACCTAAATAGAAGACCCAAAAAAAAAGGATTTGGAATGCACAAACGTTCCCTTTTTCACATCTACATGAACAAATGCAAAATAATTTGATAACAAACTAAAAATTAAAGACGTGATAATGAAATGAATAAATCCCAAAAAAATTATATATATAAAAAATACACCATAATTTCAAACTTATTTATAAATTAATTTTCAGAAAGAATTCCTTATATAAGTTAAAAATAATAGAAATTTTCAAGTGATTTCAAACTTTAAAAATTATTCAAATTCAAAAAATAAAAATAAAAAATAATAATAATAATCGAATCCAACTCGAATTGACCTCAAACCCAAAGTGACCAACTCAACCCAAACCATTCCAAGCTTGATCGATTTGGGTTGAGTTAGGTTTAAACTAATAATTAGGCTATATTGTTTCAACCCAACCCAACCCAACCCAACCCAACCCAACTCAATATAATCCACACCCAGCCCTAGGTGTGCGTATTGCTTATCTGCACCTAACAAGAATCAATTACAGACACGGAATCCACCTATAAGCCCTCAGAGTACGTAAACATTCATTTATTAGGGTCATTGATTCACTAGTTATTAACAAAGAAATCTTATACAAGATATAGTCTTTTATAATTTCATTATCACTGAGCTATTTCCTCCCACGAACTTAGTAGGGAAGAACAAACCATTTCATCCATCTCTCAATACTGATGATTTTTGTTTCGTGCAAGGTTCTAGAAGGCATAAATCATAGAGATCAAGCATCAAACTTTGCGAGTCTAATCGTAATAAAACTTTATTTTTAATATTATTTTTAGACCAATAAATAAATATTGTTGGAAATTATTTTAAAATGAGCTACTTTGAGCTCAATTTTAAGTGGGACTTGAACTCCAAAATAAACGATTATTAAAATGATATATTTAATTGTCGAAAGTAAGCGGGAGGTCTTGAGTTCGATTCTTTACAAGAACAATCCATCATGCAATTATTTTAGTTCAATATTCTTCACCATTTTGAAGCATAGTTATTAAAACCATGCAAGGGAAATATTCTGACTTGAGATCCCCTTTAGAAATATGAAAAGTGTGACCACTACGAAATTTGGTGGATGTTAATATTAAATGTAACATAAATATATATGTTCAATTTTAGTACAGTAATAGATATATTGATTTTTATTGCTGTCATTAAAGATCAATTATCAATAGCCGCTTGTTCTTATTCGGGATCCTTGATTTGCCGTTGATTGTCAAATGGTAATATGTCTACTGTATAGATGGCGAAACTTACCAGTATACAACATTTAGTGTCATTTCATTTGTAACTAGCTATCTCGATCCAATCTTACAATAGGCACATATTGTCACCAATTAGGAAATCCTTCAAAATAAATTTGAACCCATCACGCTTCGATCCGGTTTTATTAAAAGTTCTAATTCAGTATTCCAATTCTTAAGTTGCAAGGACTTCTACGAAATAACTACGCTCAATAGTAAAAATATTTACTAATAGATATTGAATCCTACATTTGATATCAAAATTTTCAACAGCATACACGTAAGTTTAAAAAAGTATTCAACATGGTAAAGTTTATCATTTTAAATATTCTTCAAATATACCACATACTAATTTGAAAAAGGCAAATCCACCTCCATAAGTTATGGGATGCGTCCGAACTTTAATTGAGAATGTTTGATATGATCCAGGAGTCAAGCTCGACGAGGACAAGCCCGGGACGGGATCCGTTGATTATCGAAGAAGGCCCGTTGACACATTCGAGGGCAAAGCGGGTGATAGAGGCAATGTGATTGTTTGCTCAAACTATGGTGAACAAAGTTTCGAAGTTAACAAGTCAAGGAACAAGTTTCATGTTGGATTCGGAAGAAGAAACCAAATGGATTAAAGAAACCAAATGGATCAACTCGATTCAACCAGCAAACGAGCAGCATAGATGAAAACGGGCATAACTTTCAACTCGATTGTCGAATTTTCGCCCATGAGTATATTTCGAAAATGGCACGTAACTCTATACAAGGTTGCTAGGTGCATGGTACTTTTGGGCTTGCAATTGTACAGAAACATGTCGAGAACAATTGTACAGAAACATGTCGAGAACATAACTCATTTTTGTTTGATTGTTTGGTTCATTAATTTTTGGTTCAAACTCAAAATCGGGATGATTTTTTGGGCTTTCTTGGGTATTCAATCTTGTTGTGGGTTGCATAGTGTTCGTTGCTACGTGATTCTCATCAGTTGGTATCAGAGCAAGACTCCAAAATAATCAGGTTATATCTTTT